GTGAGTAGAAACACCTTTTTTATTTTCCCCAAGACCTAGCCTATTTACCCTTCTCTGAACTGCTGACCATAAAATATAGACAAGCATCTTCTGCTGGAAGATAATAAACATCTGAAGAGTTTTTGTACTGAGAAAGCAATAATATACTTTTTCTCTTTTCCACTGCCCCCTACCCTATCTTCCTGTTCTTAAAAGAATTTGATTTTTTTTATTACTCACATCATTTAATGATTACATCATGGTATCTCTTAGTCTTCCAGACTGTATTCATTAAACTAAAGGGAAAAAGTATACTGGGAGCCTTAAAGAATAATAATCCAGTGTCTTTAAATGTTGTATTATCCACAGTCCACAAGCATTCAGTCCACAGTATCTTCAATTGCCTTTACTGAAACAGTTACTCATCTTTTTCAATGAATCTAGAAAAAGCTTAGTGTATATTTCATATAGAATAATTCAACTGTCATATCCTTAAGCCCTTCTTGACTTATTCAAAATGTATAAATATCTGCTTAATACCATTCAAATTATTCAATTCCTGGTTTCCTTTTATTATGATTTTAGGCTAAGTAGAAGCAGAAAATATAGTTTGCTAGAGAATCTAATTGACTGGTGCTCAATATTATGAATTTAGTTTACTTTTAATGTTGTTCAGCTTAAATCATTTCAATAATTCACCATAGCCTTACTACTCACTTCTTTTACTGTGTTAAATATGTTGTGCAAAGCAACAGACCATTATTCTTTAAGTTATTACAGTAATATAACATAATATATATTAATTAAAAATTGTTAAACATTGTTTCTTAAGGTTTAGCATATTTCAAAGTTTTGTTTACACAAAGACAGCTTGTAAAAATACAAAGGGCAAAGTTCTTTCAAAACATGACTTTCTTCTTATCATTCTTCTTAGAGAAATAAAAGTAAACCAACAAGTAGACTCAAACTACCTGTCTGTCTGTTACAGGCCCAAAAGGCCATAAATTATATAAGGTGGTTTGTTTTCACACTTTGTGATTACCATTTAATTTATTTAAAGATTTTCAGTAGAAAGCTGTATGAACATACCCATGTATGTTACACATATATGTTACAGATGTAATTCATCTGAATACATTAAGTTTGTGCTTATATAGCAGTTTTTTATCCTAATGTAGTGAATTTCTTACAGCCTAAACTTAATTAGAATCTAATTATATGTGTTACACTTTTCAAGATCACAGAGCCTCTTTGTAACCGTATACAGTAATATCCTTATAGATTTGACATTGCATTTATTTCAGCTTTTCCCTTAATTTAAACAATTCCAATCTTGAAGTGTAGGAGTATGATTTTAAAGCTGCTCTTTTGATTATTTACACCTGTGTTCTTTTATATACCTATAGTTAAAGGGTAAAAATTTGTTTCAATATAACAAATATTTGATGGTTTGCTTAATATTTTAGCTGTTCAGAAACATAAATTTTAAAAAGAATCATTAGGAAAAAATAAATGAAAACAAAATAAATTTACTTTTTAAGGAATTACAATATATTCTATTTATAGGTATAACAAATTCAATTTGAAAACTTTGTTCCAATCTGGAATCCTGGTTAATTTTTTAAAAATAATATTGAAGTTGCCATCACAGTTTATAAATTATCAAGTTGAAATTAATAATGAGTTTACTATGCAAGTATAAATATAAAACTAACGTGTTTATGAAGTTGTGCATATATCAGTGTCTCTAAAATAAAATAGTTAAGTATTTAAATTATCAGTATATGGACAATATCCAAATGTATGCAATGAAGGAATATTCAACCTTGAATAAAAACAAGATGCATGGTGATTTTAGTCATCTTCAGCTCTTTTACTAGGCGATGGACTGCCATCTATTGACTCCTAGTAGCCCTCACACATGAATGTTGAGTCAGTCAGCGCAATGACCAAGTAATGAAGCCTTGGTTAGAATTATTACTACTTATTCATTTAAACCAGTCTGCTTAAAACTCTGGAGCTTTCTGCACTTAAGCATTGATTAATTATTTTTTCTAACCAAAATTGTCAGATTTCTTATCCCAAATGATGGAAAATGTGGTTAGTATCCAGTTTGGAAATGTTTATATTTGGGAGCTTTACAGTTGCTTTTATGTGCCTCCCAACTAGAAGATCATTTATAGAGCAACTTAAATTTTAATAGTAAATTAATGTTCACCCAGGAATCATTTTCTTTAAAAATCAAAAAAGTCTGTAGGTTAAATAGAATATTGTTTCTCAAACACATAAGAAATGTGGTGTAGTTGATTGTTACTAGTGGACTTCTGAAATATTCCAAATAAAAAATTACTTAAAACACTTTCAGAACTAAGAAGAAAGTTATAGAAGTGTTCACTATTTTCAACAATTTCAAGAAAAATAAAATGAAATATCTTCAACAACCTGTATATGAATATAGTAGCTTTTTAGTCAGCTAGACTTGACTACATTAATAAAAGCTAAAGACCGTCATTCTAAAGGGTACATGCTAATAAAACTAAAAAGACTACATACACACAAACATCCATATTCTAACAACCATCTGATGACACCATCTTTTTATGTTTTAATGATTCTAAAATTATATAATTTAATGTCTTTATCAATTTGGAGACCATAAAAAAAGAAAAAAATATTGTTTTTATTTAACAATTACATAATTTCCTCAAATAGTTAATATTTTTACCTCCTTCAAAAATGTTTAGAATGTTTTTAAATGTTTAATAATATAACTTCTTGTATTTTCATTTCTGCTACATTTTCAGATTTTTGTAGAGGCTGACTTTTAATGTTCTTTTTCATCTTTCAAATAACTAATTCTAGATAAAAATTTTCCCTCTTTAACTATTCAAGAAAGAATGTCCCTTCCCCCACCCCCTGTCATTTCTACTCTCATTTATATTAAAAATCCTGGGCCAATATGGCCACCAACAGAGTTTTACAACCAACAGAATTTTTAACTAGTAGAGGCTATGATTTGACATGAGTTGGACATTTGGTTAATCTTGTTTTTAATCTACTTTAAAAAGTAACCAGGAGTTTGCTATTTGAGGGCTGTATGTGTTAAGAACCGAAAAGCACAATGCATCTTTTATGTTTAATTTTGCATTTGATTTCTTTGTGTGCATTGTTAAAATGTATTTCAAACCCTACTGCCTTTTATTTCAACTGAAGATTTAAGCAGGAAGCAAATTGTAACTGCTTTAGAAGAATTAAGCCTTGTTTTTTTATATATAATATTTTGAATGCCTAGAATTTACACTTCAATAAATAGAATATTTGTTTTCTGGGAAATGGAGAAGAGTAGAGAAGTGAGTGTGCTTGCCTTCCTTTCTGGCCTAGTAAAGGCTTACGGCCACAGTTTGTCAGAGTATATCTTATAAACCATAAGTAACAATATTACATTTCATTTTGCCACTTAGTTTTCTGTCCTTACCTGGAAATACCCATTTAGAAATGTATTTTTTGTGTTTTCACAGTTTGGAGTTATATACTGAGTGAGAATGTTATTCTCTAAAGCATTCTATGCCATACTACATAGTGGGTACCCCTAAATGTCAACAGATTTGGATTTAACTCTAGAACTATGTTTTACAGTCCAGAAGGAAGGAATAAGAGGGTGGTTTTGGTTCTGAGACTATATCTATGCAAAAGCCTTTATCCTGAGATTGTGATGTAAGATAGGATAGATAATTTTCTAATTGCCTAATGCTAATATGGAATGTTTTTCTTTTAAAATAACTTAAAATGTGAAATGAAGAGATTCAAAAAGTCAGCCAGAATCTTTTCTTTTCCAGGTTAATTGGATATATGTTGGGATTCCTAAATATCTTTCTGAGAGGTCCTTGGCTACATAAGCAGATCTGTAAAAACCATAATAACCCCATCCACACAGTAGATATCAAGTGATAGGTCTGTTTTTCTCTGTGTGTGCTTTGGTGTGTTTAAGATAATAGAACTGGTTACATATTGTTGTCTTATAAAATGCTAAATAACCCCAAAATTAGATTTTGGAGTTATCTAAGCACCATTTTTACTGGTACCATTTTTGAGGCCTAACACATAGCTTTTCGTAAGCTAATACATTATAAGTTCATTTTGGAAGCTTTTGTGTTCAACTCACTTTGCCCACTTCCTCAAGAACCAGAAATACTCTTGTGTAAATTATAGTTTTTTTTTCCTCTGTATCTGGTATTGCTGTTTTAATGTTTTGATTGACCAGGTGTTGCTATTGAGACATTACATCTCTGTCAAATTGTCAGAGGTTTAGTTTTCATTTAAAATGCCCTTAGTACTAAATACTACTGAGGTGAACGTGACTGTGCTCTGATCATTCAGAAGGCACATGACTCTTTTGTAGTGCGTCAGGGCCATCTTTTCATTATAGTACTACAAAATAAATCAGACTGGTTTATCTTTTGAGTTTCTTGGTGTCTGAATAACAAGATTTTTTTTTTTAATAAGCATCGATAACTTGTAATAGTCCATCTCTGATAACAGAGATAGAAAATACATTTGGAGAATGACTAAAATTTTTAAAGATATTTCAAATGCAAAATTTATATAAATAGTTTTATGTTATTTAAATACTTGTCTTGTTCTTAAATTGCTGTTAAAATTATCCTAATAATTTTTACTTCAGTCTTCTCATATTTTGAGTTTAGTAGGAACGATAAATTACTACATTTACAGAGTAAGTCAACTGATTTTTTTTTTAATCTTTATTTCACTGGCATGTGGAACCACATTTTCCCAGAACTTATCATTGGAAAATGTAATTTCAAAGCAGATGAAACCTGGAATTATCAATCTCAATAAATGAGATTCTTTTAAAAATAAATACAATTTGCTAAATCATCAAAAAGCAATTTTCTAAAGCTACTGTAAAGGAAAGGAGGAAAAATGAACTTTGTGAATTATAAATGCATATGTTATTTTTCCTCACATAACATTTCCACAGATACTTAGAAATTGTATGTATG